CTTTGTACTAAAACTTTAAAATTATTATTCTCTTCCAATAACTCAAGCATTTGGTTTATAGCACTAATCTGATCCTGATACCTGCTATGCTTAGCCAGCAGGACAACTTCCTGAACTGTGCCTTGCACAATTCTTACCACCCTAGAGCTAAGAAAGTAATTCAAAATAAGGAAATACAATAAAGGTCATAGCCGGAGGACACAGTCCCTGCCCACTGAAGCCACTAAAAAACATGACTTGCAGATAGTGCCTCAGTATTTTGTCAGATAAGAATCAAAGTAAAATGTGACACACATAACAAATGGTGGGTAAACCGCTTTGGTTTAATGGAAGAAATGTATGGGTTCACCAAATACTATGCGAGGGGAAAGGATGCTCTGAAACAAAGGCAGGCTGCCCGGGGATCTTGGCATCCCTGCTAACTCAGGACAAGAACCAACGGGGATGGTATCAGAGCCCGAGTAAGCAGGCGTAGGGGGAGGCCACAGCAGCAGGGGGAGGGACCTTGACCAGTCTCAGTTCTGATGGTGTCAGGTCACCTGCTCACCAACCAAACTTAAGCCAGGTGCTCAAAGGACTGAAGGGCAAGAGCTTTGAGGAGGCGCTGACCTGCTAGCCACAGCCCACTCTGCCCAGCCCCACCTGCTATCCCATCTGACCAGCAATCATTCCACATACAGGGGTGCAGGAACCGTGACAGAGAGGCCAGCTGGCTTGGGCCAAATGCCACTCCCTATCAAGCTGTGGGGCCGTCTGCCCAAAAAAAAAAAAAAAAAAAAAAAGGCCACATAAAAATGGAAAGTGTCCACCCCACCTTGAAGTCCAGAGGGCTCTCCAAAACGCTGGGATTAATGAGAGCAGCACATATGGGACTGCTGAACAATTATCTTGACTTTCCCCTTGAGAATCACAATGCAAACTCCCTCCTGGCTGCAGAGAGACATCACTTCCAGCAGAACGCCATTTTTGCCTGGCATAGAGCGCATGCCAGAAAGGCGCAAAACTTGGCCATGGGCCCATTTTCCGGGGGAAGAACCACAGCATGAATATCTGTAAGAGATTGTATCTACACCCACTTTCAGCTTTGGAGCTGGTCTCTCTCCAGGGACTTTCCTTCTACCCCTGCCCTGCATCCATCTCTTCTAGGTCACTGTTCTTATAAATCCCTCCCTTGCCTCCTTTCTCAGCTCCTTCTCCGAATGCAGACCAGTGCCTCTCGTGTTCTCTATGGTATTTTCTCACATCATCCTTTTATATCCTCATTTGCCAAGAAGATTTTTTGAGTTTTACATCCTGTAACTGGTATGATGAGAACAATGGGTACACTGAATAGCTTTTCCAACTACACATGACACATTCTGCTCCAATCTTGAAAAAGAATTAAAGCTGTAAAAGCACTCAAGGTGTTGTCATCCTCAAAATGGAACCTTGACCCTCTTGCTTTCCATTTTCTGCACTCCTGGTTTCATTCTGGTAGATTTTTGTGAAGAGCAGTCTATTTTTAATTCTGTTCCGTATTTGTCACATTTACTCCCCAGTAGCCTGTAATATTCCTTTAGCTGAATCAATTCTGATGAAATTGCACTGACAAAGGTTGCTTGTGACTTACTAATTGATAAATGGTATAAAGCCACTTCATAGTTTTTACCTACTTGACCTTTTAGGTAAAATCATGGTGCTTTAACCTCACTTGGTTTCCAGAAGACTACTCTCTGAGATTCTCTTTCTTATCCTCTGACCATGTCTCCTCCCTGCCCCGTGTGAATCCTTAGCCCGCTCTTCATGGGGTAAAGTTTCCCAGGGTGTTGATGCCTCCTAGGTCTTCATCTTCATCTCTGCCCCACACCCGCCTTTCTCTTCTTCTACTTTATGTTCCACTGATGCCAATGGGTCCATGGTTGCCGGAAGACATCAGGTGTATCGTACTCTACACCTCTGTACATGTTAGCACCACCTTGAACATTTCTCCCCTCCCTCAATTTTGCAAATTCCTACTTGTCTTTCAAAACAGCTCAGATATCAGGTCCTCAGGGAGGATTTTCTGATCTCCACCCAAATAACCAATCATTCCCTTCTTTGTGCTACTTCTATGTCGTATAAGTAATTCTACTGTGTCACCTAGTGCTCAACACTGCAGTTCGTTTACCTGCCAAATTCTGTTCTAGAGCTTCTGGAGACTTAGGACCCTGCCTTATCAGTGTTAATGATGTTCTGTATAACAAAGTTTCAGAACACAGAGTTCCTTGCTCCACAGGTTCAAAGTGAAAAGTTAGTAGCACTCCCTTCAGTGAACTTGTTATTCAGGAGAAAGCTAGAACAAGTCCAATTCTCTCTTTTTTTAAGATTGGAAACAGTGAACCTGTATTGACACCTATTACATAACTTTTCTTAGTAGTCTTAGGAAAATGGATAATGTGGGTTGACACAAGATAACTTATAAGACTGGGCACAAATTAGCAGAACAGATAAAGCATTTGAAATTTTGATGGGAGCAGATTTTAATTTTTTATCCTCACACTTGAAAAGTAGTTACAGCCAGCAGTTACCCAAGCTTAACATTGATCACTAGTTTACAATCCTTAGGGTTAATAATTCCCTTCTTAATTCCATCAGTTTCAATATATACTGGTATAGACATGATCACTCACTAATTTGTACAAAAAAATCAAGATTCCATAGATCCTTTGGAGTCATAGGATTGAAGCAGGTGCCTCTACCTTTCATGTGACTTCAGTGGTACTGTGGAGACAACCCCTTTTCTTTTTTTATTTCCATCAATAGAGAGCTATGGCTCAGCCATGGAGATTTTGATCTATGTGCACACACACTGCCCAGCTTTGGCCATTCCATACAAGAGCTGGGGAAAGCAAATATATCTGCACTGATGATCTACTTTATGGTAGCCTTGTTCCGAACCCTTTGCTCATCTCATTAACACCCTACAATTCCAAGAGGGAAGAAACTTTCTCCAGTAAATTGATGTATAAACTGAGGCTTGAAGAGGGTAAATAACCTCCCTAAGGTCACTTGTACTGAGCAGAGCCATGTTTAAACTGAAATTTGCTTTCTTTTATGGCTGTATCCTTGCCAGGTTTCTAAAGAAACTAGGAGATGCATAATATACCCACATACAGTATGGCAGGAGAAAAATGTAAAAGCTTGTATTTTGATTCTATATTTGCTTCTGTAATCTATCTTTCAGAATGTAAGTTAACACAGGCAATGCCTTTTGAATTGCTAAATTTAGAATAACGCCAAGTACACAGAGGAACTGGCTGATACAGAGTCGAGTGATCAGACTGCTGTGTCTAAGCACGTTACAACCAGAAGGTTCTGCAGGAAAACTCTCGCCAAGTGAGGTCTAAGCTTGGAGTCAGCTCATCCAGGTAGTTTGGAGTTGAGAAGGCAGAACTTCAATGCTTTCTTTCCCCTGTAGATCAGTGACCAAGTTGCCCAGAAGTAATAACACTGTTTCTCTTTTTATACCTCTGTGGTAAAGGTCTCCACTGCCAAAAGCATAGCTTTTGTTTTTCAGGTACAAGGATGAGGTGCCAATATACCTCAAACTCTGTAACAAGCATTCATTACTAAGAACCTTCTCTGCTTCTTAAAGGGGCACAAATGGCTCCTAGACAGGGCTCTAACACACAGCCACCCTACCCCCAGTTTGCCACAACTCACGTTTGCAAAAAGAAAAGCACAGTCCTCTAGTTCAATGTGGATCTGCTGAGACCCTGGGTTTCTACAGCTGTTCCTGAGCCCTGTGTCATACAATCTGTCCCTTTCGAAAACCTGCAGAGCTGTGTAGTCATCATTAATGCTGCGAGAGTGTGTGAGGGAGTCTCACTGAGCAGTGAGGGCTAAGCAGTAGTGCTGAGCTTCACGGTCATGTGTTCGGTGAGTGATTTATCTCACATAACAATCCATTTAGTTGGGGCCTGAGGGAGACCCTCATCCAGAGAAGAAACTATCAGTGCCTTCAGGAAAAGGAGGCTGAGGTGATCTAGCAGGGAACAGTAGGCAGGGCTCCTGGGGCAGATTCTATTCATGACTTGAACAGAAGAAGTGCTGAGGCAACAGGACAGCAACAGAAAAGGCAATGTGCACTGGGAGAACACAATGGGCTGTGTCCTTTGTGAGGGACTGAATGCTTGTGTGTGTGGGAGGGGGGGCGGTGTGGGGTGCTGAAGTAAAATGACACTTTTGCTCAAAGATCACACGTCTCTGTGAAGTACTGACTGGAAATAAATAGCTTTATTATTTATTATTATTTGGGGGAAGAAATGAAGCAGTTTGCTCCTCGAATGCACGAATGTAAATGGCTCAAGGAACACAATTCAGACATAGCCTTGCTGGCTTGTGAAATATGAAGTGACTATGAAGTGAGAGATGAGAAAGATGTACATTCAGCCAGCAAAGGAAGGAGGAAGGTTGGGCCTAGCATGCCAAGTGTGGTGTGACAGAGAAACACTATGGAGGCAGGAGTCTGTGAGGTAGTGTCAAGTCTGGGGTTTTAGAAAGGATTTGGATCGTAATGACATTTGAAAAGAATAAAAGTGAGACAAACAGCGCTGCTTGGGGAGCTACAAGGGCAAGGCGTCTCAGCTCCTCTGCAGCCTGCCCATGACTAACACAGCAGGGGCGGTCTAGCCCAAGTGGGAGATGCCAACTGTGGGAAATCCATCGTTAATATTTCTTGAAGTCTGGAATTCCCTTCACTCCGACTGTGTGAAGCTATGTGTTGTCTTTTAAACTACTCTACTCCTACATCTTGTGGTTGGGGGAAATAAGAGCAGGGAGAGGGTCTGGTGCTCGGTTTGCAGTGACAGAGGAAGCAAATCTAGAAAGTATGCGTTCATATCTCAAATTAGAGATTTTAGCACCTACATGAGCTCCAGGTCCTGTCTAAAACACTGGGGAAAGGAAGGTATGAGACATACAGCGATGGCTTCACAGCTCCAGGGAGAACTTTCACAGTAACATATAGCACAAAGACTTACCGGCAAGCAAGAAGGTGATTAGGCAAGTTTCCTTTGGCAAATATAGCTTGAGACGAGAACCGCTGAAGACGTATTCCACCACAGCTTCAGAGCGACCTGCCCGCTGGAGAAAGGGCAGGAACTGCTTTGCTTTTTGGGTATCCTGGTGAAGAAAAGAAGAAAAGATCAGTAGAGAAAAGTAATGTGATCCAGATAAATGTTTCTTTCGGGCTGGTCTAGGGCAGAAAGTCTGGTATACAACAGAAAATGAGGCAAAGAAAATTAGATATTTCAGAAACTCTGACATAGACAAGATACCCATGTAACTTTCACAGAAGAAATAGGTAATTAGTTTCCAGAACATTCTCATGGGATCTCTACTTCTCTCTGTTCAGTTACAAAGCACTCAGTAGATATACAAGTTAGGAAGGTGCTTTCTAAATGAGAATTTTATGACTTCTCTGAGACAGGAAAAGAGTTCATTTCCCTTTGACACAAATATGAGGAGAGAAGACCAAGGCTAACAGCTAACAATCTACAAAGGTTAATTTTAATGTAAAAAAATTTAATTTTCATTTTCAATTAAAAAAAGTGTGATACAGTTCCTTAAAACCCTTTCCAGGAAACCCCAAGGAGTTCATCTTCAATTTTAAATAGGTCTTGCAGATTCACAGCTCACTGTTTCTCAGTACTGGGAAGTGTGCAGCCTGGGACAGTGAGATCTGAGGTGCCTGCTTTTCAGGGATGCGCAGTAGGCACTTGGGGCACCCCACTCCCTCCTCCATCCCCAGAAATCTGGAATAACAGGACATGTTCTATGGGGACAAACATCACATCATGGCAGTACAAATAATTATGGAAACAATAAAAACACAAGAAATGACATCCCTCTGTTAAAACTTATTTCACACATCAGTGCAAAGTGTACACATCCTACCCTCAAGAGTACCAAATATGGACAATTCTAACCTCAGAGCTCTTAGCTATGGAGCTCTTAGCCACTCCAGTTAATTAAAACAGATGACAGAGTAAGCAAGCATCAAAATATCACATCGAGCGTGCTGGGGGAATAGTACTGGGTGTCAGAATTTCCGAGGTTTCCAATCCAGCCAGCAGAACTGTAAACTCGCTCCGAAGACCGCAAGCTCTGCACGTTTTCTTGACTCCTTGACACATGCAGTTTGCACTGAGCCAAGCTCTTCCTTCCTTACTCTGCTCCTAGCAACAGAGCTATTGTATCTAAATTAATGCACATTAGATAATGAAAATTTAACAAGCCATCAAGTATTTGAGGATTTTCACAGCAGCCAAAGGGGCTCCTCTCATTCAGAAGCAGTGAGGTAGGCTGGGATGAAAACAATATTTATAGTAATGAGATTCATCTTTTCCTTCAAACAGATTTGCAGAGAAAAGGAGACAGTCATCCATTCTTAGTGTCTCTAAAGGCACACTGGTAAAAGGTAAGGTAACAATGAACTTCAGAGGGTTGGAAACTCCCCCAAAGAACATTTAAGCAACACATATTCTACTATACATATACAGTGGGAAAATGCCTCTTTCACAAGTTGGCTGAAGTCCAGAACAGTCAAGCAAGACAAATGCTCCATGGGAAAGAAAGCACTACCTGATTAAAATCCTTTTGCCATACTAGTCTAAATCTGGGACATTATTCATGAGCTGAGCCAGTGAGTCAACAACAATTATCAAATTGATTATCGCAAATCATGAGGGAACTTAACGTCTCTGAAAAGAGAGTCTTTTTCCTTGAGACTGCAGTAATCTATATTTTTATTCAAAGACAGATTTTTTCTCATCATTGTCTTTGGATATATTTATCTGAAAAAAAAAAAAAAAAGCCTGCGGGAGTAACAACACACACACATAGGTATGCCTTGAATGTTAATTCTAAAAAAGAAGTTGCAGCACTCCCTCCCTCCATATGCTAAACAGTCACCTGCCTTATTAAGAGAGACACCTACACTCAGACAGTGAATCAAGAAGTGAAGGGATCTTACTATTATTCATGTAAGAAAAACCAGTAGATGTTCCTGAATCCTCAAGTCTCAATACAACACCCATTCCAGAAACAACATACGGGAAGAAAGCAAATATATTCTTGCTTTCTTAGTGGATTTGATATTTGATATTCACTAATTAATGCAAAGATTAGAAGTGAAAGGTAACAATGACGATTGAAGGCATGAAAGCAAAAGTTGAAAGGCTTCCAGAACTGATGATGTTGATGTCCAGAGGCAAAATTGCAAGATAAGACATGGAGCTCACCTTCTTGAGGCAAGTCTTCTACAGGCTTGGGGAAAGACAATATGACTGAGGATGATCCACTATGGGAAAAGATGGAAATTTGTCCACATTGATAGATTTTTAGAAATAAAATTTTTCATAAAGTCAATTAAATTGAATGTAATCACCAAAAGTTGTCAGTTCTTTCAAATCGTAGTCACAGGCACACAATGGAATCTGTCTGTCGTCTCAAGAGCTTCCTTTACTTGGCAAGTTCCTTTTCAATACAGAAATTCTTAAAATCATTATTTATTTTAGGGAATCAAAGAAAAAAACTGGTAAGGCAGACAGACAAGTTCCCTCCGGTGGCATAGCTACAAACCTGACATTCCCTGCTAATTTAGCTATGGAGATTATTTATTTTAGGAGTTTTGATTGTGCCACCATAAAATCGACTAAAAGAGGTTAAACAACTTGCCTTCCAAAGAGCCTAGGCAAGTACAACGTGTTTCAGTCCCTAATACTTATTTCTAAGGTTACAGCAATAGGAAAACACAGAAATTGCGATTATGGAAATAGCATAACAGAAGCCAGTTTAGGCTGTACCGAGGAGGTGGAGATGCCAGGACTGTAAGGAGAGCAGCATGATCAAGTTCAGAGGAGGTCAGTAACGTGACATTTTAAATTCTCTGATGATCCTGAGGCAGAACTTACTGAGGTTTAATGAAATTAAAGATTTCTTTAGAAAATTTTAACTCCCAAATGTATTTTTAAAACTATATTAAAGCTTCCTATTTGGAAAGATAGCAACACTGGGACTTAATACACAAAATGCTCATTTGGAGGTAAAACTGTAAAATAACAAATAGACACGAGATGCAGGGGACTCTGGTTCTTGGGTATCCTGCGTTGTGGTTAATTTACATGAGGTCCGGGAATCTATCTGCCATAGTTTTCTGGCACCATATTGGCTTAAGGCTCTGTGAGTCTGATAAATTAACTATGGTTTTCTGCTATCTGTACCAATATTCCCCTCCACTGGTGTAAATAATCAGGCGGCAACTGTATCTCTGAGCCGGGAAGTCTGTGTTACCTGTGCTCTCCCAAACAAACTGTACTAAGTATTTCCCTGTACTCTTAGAAAAGCTAATTTAAGGTTGCATTAGCTACATTTAAGCTGCTATTGTGGATGGCATCTCTTTAAGGAATGTTTCTGCCTCCTCAATGCACCTTGAAATTGAGAAAGTAATGATGCAACAAATGTGCCTAGGGTGACTTCATTTCAAAGGATGTTAATATCCATACCTCAAATTTATAGAACACAGTTTTGAAAGACCCTGAAAAAGGCAGGTTGATTCTCAGAGAGGGAAAGGTCATCAAGACACCTAAATTATACACCCTCACTGTGCGCCTCCCATTTCTGACTTGTCAGACCAAACCTCTTCCAGATGTGGATACGACTGTCAATGCCTATAAAAAATCCCTCTTAGCAGTGAGATGGCAAAGTGGCTCCACCAAGTACCTTGCTGTGTGAGCAAACACACAAATACTATAATGAAATATCAAGTTCGGGGGTGAGGGAGGCAGGGGAAGCAGAATCCTCTTATGGCAGGCACAAGACAGAGGTCCTAGAGAGATTAACTTAGACAGCCAGGTCCCCTGCACCATCAAATCACAGAACATTCATAAATCAAAGTTCTATGAATTCTGGAACAGAGTTTTAGGTTGTCAAAGCTAATCCTATGACTTTTCTACTGAAAATACCCATATAGTCCTTAGTAACAGTTTGGACCGGTGAGAGGCAAATATCACAGCACACAAAACAGCACAGGGAAACAGGAATCAGAGTAAACTTATTAGTTAACAATTAACCACTCAGGATTATCATGGGCAAGTCTCAAATGGGAAGTGTTAATAATGAAGCTTTCTAATTAGTTCTCATCATCACAATCACTCTTTGATTAACATCATAGGAAAAAGAACGAAAAACAAATACACGCAGAGCTTATTATGGGACCACGGGAGCACTAGTACTTGAGAAGCTGATCTCAAAAGAGGCCCATTGAACGTGATGAAACTTCCTGGAGGTACAATCACGTCCCTTCCTACCTGCTCCAATGAGCCATGAAGGCTCTCCCCTATGAGCTGACTGTCCTGTCTCTAACAGGGTTGACCTAGGGCTAAATGACCCCCCACATTGTTCAAAGACAATATGAAGCAGTCTTCCTATTGAAATGGCAAAAATCTGTGTGTACAGGAGGACAGCTACAGAGCGGGTAAAGAAGGTAAGTGGATCAGAACTAATAGCTAAGGATACTGAAGCAAACAGCCCCTCTGATTTTAAGGTACACTGTGATAACTCATCGCCAGAGTTACCTATCTGTTTGAAATCCTGCAGACTAAGAGAATTATAGCTGCAGCTATGTGGAAGACAAATCATAACGATATCCCCTACCAGAAAGGCAAAAAGAAGCCATCCATCATTCCACACTCTTCCTCCACTCCACAGTCTGGGCTCCATGGCTTCAAGTGACGTTTTAATTCATGGAATGAGTTTATGATTCTCTGTGAAGAACCAGCTGTACAGCAAGATAATCTCTTGAAATAAACGGGGCCCTAGGGGGAGATACTTGAGAAAGCCCTCCAGCTCCAACATTACCACAAAGCACTTAAAGACTTGAATGCAACCTTCCTGGCTGGTTATCAATGTTTCATGGGGAGCTGTGTGTGTGAGGGGGCTGGGGAGGGCGGGTGTAAACTTCAGTGAGGTGGAAGTAAATATATGAGAAACCCTTGAGGAAAACACTGAGTGAAAAACAAAACAAAACAAAAAATTACAAGGAACAGAGAGAAGGTGCTGAGGCTAGGCCGTCACTAGCTCTCAGTAAGTGGGGGGTGTCGTTTATAGCTCCTCACACTGCT